CCCCAAAACCCCAAAACCCCAAAACCCCAAAACCCCTTTTTGTAGAAGAGTTTATATAAATTAGTATAATTTAAGGTAAGCAAAGATGCTCAGTAACTAGAAAGCCTAATTTCCTTATATAATATTATTATAAAACTCTCCTGATCTATTCTTGAAGACAAGCTCTTTTTTAAGCAACAAAGCTAGTCCATATCTATCTCTAAATGCTATAAAATTCTGAAAAACTTCCAATTTGCTTATTATAAGCCTTCTTCAGACAAAGAATGGAGTCAATCACAGATGAGAATTATGGGGGCTCTCCAAGGCATAATTTTGTGAGCTCTCCAAAGGTATTTTTAGCTCTATCTGAATGTTATAGTCAAGACTGGCTACCAAAAGTTCTGGGAGGAAGCGGAAAGCCGAGTATAGAGACTCATCAATGCAAACAGTTTCAAATGAAGGAGGAAATAAGAGTAAAGGTGCCAAGAACTATAGTCGTCACGAAATCCTTCAAATGGATGAGATGGAGAAAGAGTAATTTTCTAAAATTTGTTTCTTATTTAATATTACTTCGGAATTTTGATTTTTAACTCATTTTAGTAATCTCATGGACGAACTAAGTCTATCTAACTCCTTACTAAGGGAGAAGATCCTCGAGTTGAACGAGCTTATATTAAAATATATTCTCACTAAAGACTCTAAATCCGGCGCCAACAAGCCGGTTGGCCCTAGCTCTTTCGCGAAAGGAGAATTCAAAAGTATGTATTTTCCACTGATCTTCCAGAATTTGACTCAAGCGTGCATCAGTGCCTCAAGCAGATGACTCAGGTTCATGAAGGAGTGGATCACCTGAAGCACCAGATGGATAACGCCTATGAGATCGAGAAGTAAGCTCCAAAACCCAATTGTCATAGGATCAACGAGCTAGAATCAGAGCTCAAGTATAAAATGTCTAAGATCCAAGAAATGCTCATCGAGAACCAAGTCCTCAAAAACGCCATTAAGAAAGCTAATTCTGAGATCCAGGATGTTAACCTCGATGGCGAATATGATTTTAGGCGTGCACAACTCGCTAATGAATTCAGAGAAGTCAAAGCAGAATGGAGGGAAACTTATTACTCCAAAATTGACAAGCAAAAGCACTGTATTCAGATACATTCTGACGCAGTCGACCATAGCAAGAAAGTTCGAAAAATGGCTGATCTTATACTTGAATACAAAAACCTTAGTGACAAACAAAGAAAGGAAGCAACTCTTGAAGAGGGAGATTTTGTTATTGAGAAAGAAACACTTGATAAAATGGGTATTGAAGTAGACAAGGCTAACCAGAAACGCCTCAGAGAAGAAAAGAATTATGAAGGTAAGACCCTTTGTAATTTGATGTAGATACTATCCTACTTCAGGCACAGAAAATACAAGATAAAGAATACAAAAATAAGTTACTTGAGCTCAGAGTTAGGGAGAAAGACAAAGAACTTAGATTATGTGAACTCAAATCTAAAGAATATAAGAAACAAATCAGACATAATACGCTTAAACCAATGCCTAAAGATTCAGGGCCAACCCTTGAGGCACTTATTAGTCCAAGATACGAGCCATTTGCTGGAGCTAAAATGAGATACCAGCAGTAAGGCACACATTTCATGTTTAGAGCAAGGAATTACTTTTCTCCCAAAAAGAAGAAAATAGTGAAGTACTGAACCTATTTGACATCATTTAGGAAAAACATTGAAAAAGAAGACGAAGTGGTTCCTATAAAACCTATAATCGAGGAGGTCGTCGTTCACAAGAATTACATTAGACAAAATATCGAGAAACTAAAAGCAAAAAAGAAGAATATGAAATAAGGTCGGACAACTGATGGTCGACTCTGAACAATTCAATGCCATGCTAAAGTCATTTGAAAATAATGTTCCTAAAAAGCCCAAACGCAACCGGTCTCATAAAAAATCAATCCTAACCAATTCCCAAAATAAATCAACCAGAAGACGATCTCAAAAAGCCCGTGTGCCTAAAATAGATCCAAACAACACAGATTACACTAGAAATCGTTCAAAAGTAAGCTAACCTAATCACATCTAGCTACAAATATCGAAAACTCAGGTAAAACATTAAAAACCAGGACTTCACAGCCAAGGTTCTTCTAGCCGTGAGTCTCAATAGCCCAAACCGTTAGAACCAAGGCTAGAGGTCTCCTGACTTGTGAAGCGTTAATATATTGCATATACAACAACTTTAAGCGCTAAATTGTGGGGTTATATTAGAGATGGATTACTAGGAAGGCTTCCATTATGAGTCAGAGAATGAGGATTAGTTGTTAGGGCTGTTTTGGTAGCTTGGGGTGGACCAGATTTGGGGTGGATGGAATATATTGTGAGGGAATGGGAGGAATTGTGATACGAATTTGTTTGTGGAGTCGTGAGGAATAGTAGTGGGGTAGGAATAGTTTAGTTCGTTATTTGAGTGAGGTTTGGGAGTTTTATAGAAGAAATCATACTAATTGTAGCAAATTGGAATAAGAAACCGATACTTTTCTGCTCAGAAAAATAGAAGTATTATTTTTATACCAATCCTAATAATTGCACCAATATGATATAAATCCCAGCTTAAAAAACAAAATTCAAAAATTTGTAGTTCTCTAATCTCAGATCTCTATTATTTTCAATCTATTTCCTTCCTTGGCATAATAATCCCAATTAGCTTAAAAATAACTCTCTAATTTTCCAGTTGTAAAAGATATGAAGTGTCCGAATGGGCTTCTTCAGTCCTAAAATCATAGTCAAACACCTAAAAATATTTCAAATAGTTATCAAAATCCTGGAATTTGGCTTTTGAGCCTCCCAAGCTAAAAGTAGCTGCTCCTCTGGATTGTTAGCCTGAGATTTGGAAATTTAGTGCAAAGAATTTTATGTACTGAAAGTCCCTAGAAAAGAGATTATGACAGAAAAGTTATTTTAGAAGAAAATTAGGTAGAAATTACTGCACTTTTAGCTTGGAACAAGATGACTCTGAAGAGATAGAGTTGAAATTTATTGTATAGAATCAAAGTGGGAGTAGGATTATGAATAAATTAAAGAATATGGCGAAGCCTAATGCCTTACCGAATATTTCTATGCGTAGGAAAGCTCCAGGCCAGTCGAAGCCTAAGCAAAATTTGACACATGTTTGCACCCAACAAGACGTGATAGATCATATTGAAATCTCGAATAAGAAATATGAGTCGAAGTTTATCACAAAAGATGAGAGAGAAAAACGCAAGAATAGAGGTCCTCCTCGAGTCTTCCCTGATGACTTCCAACACTGATGTTATGATTAATCTCGATTGATTTAGAAAATTTGAGATTTCAATTCATCATATTGAGAAAGGGGTTTTGGGGTTTTGGGGTTTTGGGGTTTTGGGG